CCGCGCCCCCGTCGGCCCCACGGGGGGGGGGGGGAGGCGGAGTGGCACGCGGAGCAGAGCTGAGCCAATGGGAAGTGGGGTGAAGAGGACCAAGGCTCCCTCCAAGCCGTGGAGTCCTGTGAGCAAAAATCCTACTTGGTGAGCTCCTGGCATTTAAAGTTGCGAGCGAGCAATTGGGCTGCTGCATCAATTCGTTTGCTCTGGAGACAAAAATCTGTGAGCTGGAGGCTAAAAAACGGTGAGCTAGCTCGCATTAACTCAGCTTAGAGGGAACACTGGAGGGGACCCATGGGAAGCGTGGCATTCTGGGACTGTGAGCGGGGTGGTGGCGGTGATCCTGTCTGCTGGCCTCCAGCGGCTCTCCCAAGCGACTGGAGAGCCGGTTTGGTTTAGTGATTAAGAGAGGCAGACTGTAATCTGGAGAACCGGGTTTGATTCCCCCACTCCTCCTCCACATGAAGCCAGCTGGGTGACCTTGGGTCAGTCACAAGCTCTCTCAGAGCAGTTCTCTCAAGAGCAGTTCTCTCTGGCCTCTCTCAGCCCCACCTACCTCACACGGTGTGTCTGTTGTGGGGAGACGAAGGGAACAAAGAGGAGAAGAGAAGAAGAGATTGGGTTTGTACCCCACCCTTCACACTCTGTGGGGTTGAGAGCAATGTTCCCTCTAAGCTGTGGAGTCCTGTGAGCAAAAATTCTGCTTTGTGAGCTACTGGCGTGAAAGTTGTGAGCGAGCGACATGGCTACTGCATAAATCAGTTTGCTCTGGAGCCCTCCTCCCTGAGCTCAGACAAAAATGTGAGAGCCGGAATCTAAAAATTTGTGAGCTAGCTCACACTAACTTGGCTTAGGGGGAACATTGGTTGGGAGAGCTCTCTTGAGAACTGCCCTTGAGAGGACAGCTCTGAAAGAACTGGTGACTGACCCAAGGTTACACCAGCAGCTGCACGTGGTGGAGTGGGGAATCAAACCCGGTTCTCCGAGATTAGAGTCCACACTCTTAACCACTACACCAAGCTGGCTCTCAGGAGATTGCTAGCTGCTTCAAGACTCCAAGTGAAGGGCAGGGTATAAATCCAATCTCCTCTTCCTCCTCCTCCTCCTCCTCCAAAACCAATTTATTAGGATATATTAAAAGTTCAAACATACATCATACTACTAATTGTTATACATCCTTTTCTCCTATTACCCCACCCCTTTTGACTTCCCACAGTGCTCCAACCTCCAGCCCACATCTTAAATTCTCTCCTTTCCCCACCTTACTCGTTAATCACATTCTACAGGTAACATATCGTTCAACTATTATTCTTATACATTTATCTTTCTTCTAATATTCTTTTTTCAATAGTTATCAAAGCAAATTAAGTTGTTCTTTACATCCCAATATTTATCTAAATATTCTTTAAAGTCTATCCAGTCCGCAAAAAAATTCTTCTGCTTCCAGATTTTTAAGCTTTCTTGTCATTTTGTCCATTTCCGCCATAAAAAGTAATTTCTTTATCCACTCCCCAATTTCGGGAGTTCTGTCTTGCTTCCAGCATTGAGCATATGTCATTCTAGCAATTGAGCATATGTCATTCCAGCAGTTGTGATCGTGTACCACATCAAAGTCCTTTTCGCCATGTTGACTTCTTCCATTTTAAGTCCCAAAAGTAATATTTCAGGTTCTTTCTTAAATTTACCTCCTCCTCCTCCTCTTGCTCCCTTCATAGGCAGCCCTTGGGTTTCATGGCCTCTCTAGATCCTACTGTCCACCCCACCCTCCCCCACCTCTCCTGGCAGCCTCCGGGCTTGCCTGTTTTATTCTCCAGGCTTTCCTTCTCAGACTGGAAACGTGCAGTGGGGGCCAAAGTTTATTTATTTTATATTTATATTTATTTTGAGATTTATATCCCGCCCCATCCAGTATTCAGCTCGGGGCGGCTAACAGGCGGCAATGCCAAGGTTAAAATATACATATAACAACATAGTAAAAACAGATATCTATCATAAAATTGGTGCTATCATAAATTACATACAATTTACATCCAAGGTGGACGACATCCCAGACTGACGGCCAAGTTATTTCCTGCAGAAGCGCCAGGAAGAGTGTATCCCCAGCTCTGTTTGGGCGACATCTGCCCCTACTATGAGGGGCAGATGGTTGTAAAATCATTGGTGGTATAATGGCGGCGGCGGCTCCCCCTCAAAGGCCTGGCGGAAGAGCTCCGTCTTGCAGGCCCTGCGGAACTGCACTAGGTCCCTCAGGGCCCGGGTATCTTCCGGGAGCTCATTCCACCAGGTGGGAGCCGCCACCGAAAACGCCCTAGGCCTAGTTTGGGCCAGCTTTGCTTCCCGGGGGCCTGGAATTTCCAGGCGATGAGAATTCCCCGACCTCAGTGCTCTTGGGGGAACATGCGGGGAGTTCCTTTGCTGCAGAGGAAGGATTTAAATGGGCAAAAATGATCAGCCCTAACCCGTCCGAAAAGTGTTGCCTGACCTAAGTCACTGAAGTTCCGCTGACTGGCCATGCGGAATCGTGTGCCCTTCTCCCTTCCTCTCCCTCCTTTGAAATGTGGTGCTGGAGGAGGGTTTCACGGGCACCGTGGACTGCTGGAAAGACAAACAAAGTGGTTTCTTGATCAAATCAAGCCTGGACTCAAATCAAGAGTGATTAACACTTGGAACTCACTGCCACAGGAAGTGGTGGCGGCTACAAGCACAGACGGCTTCAAAAGGGAATTAGATAAGCATATGGAGCAGAGGTCCATCAGTGGCCATTAGCCACAAGGTATAGATAGGGACTCTGGGGCAAGTGATGCTCTGTCTTCTTGGTGCTTGGGGGGGGGGGGTCAACAGTGGAAGGGCTTCTAGTGTCCTGGCCCCACTGGTGGACCTCCTGATGGCACCTGGTATTTCTGGTCTTTGGAGTGTTGGACTGGATGGGCCTTTGGCCTGATCCAACATTGGCATCTCTTATGTTCTTATGACTCTCCCCAGAGTTCCCGAGATGAGAAAACTGAGGGTGTTGTACTTTGTTCACATGATGACGAGACAAGAGTCCCTGGAAAAGACAGTCATGCTGGGAAAACCTGAAGGCAGCTGTCAGGTTCCCCAGTCAGATCACTCTCTACACCCGCTTCCTTCAGTGAATGCTTTATTCAGAGCAATGAGAGGCTGTGGGTTCAAACGCTTTGTTAGGACTGATTTGCAAGGCGGGAAACACAAGGTATAGTTACGACCCCAAATTCCACGCGTTCAACGTCAGAATTATTCCAGTGGTCCTGAAAGATACACAACCACTGTCTAGCCAGGCACAGACTTTTCTCCAAGGACATTTCTCATGAGAACAATGTCTTTGGGACCTCTTCACAAGATTACTAAGCGGCCTCCCTATTCCACTACGTGCACACAATCCCCGCCCCCCCCCAGGAATGCAATGGCAGGTGAGGTCAACAATAAGCAGCTCCAAGCAGACAGAAGCAGGTAAATCATGGGGAAAGGTTACAGGTCATACAGGTCTTAAGCCAGATACATCATTAGGTGCCAACTATGTACCCAGTTTGGTGCAGTGGTTAAGTGTGTGGACTCTAATCTGGGAGAACCGGGTTTGATTCCCCACTCCTCCTTGCAGCTGCTGGATGACCTTGGGCAAGCCATAGTTCTGTCAGAGCTGTTCTCTCAAGGACAGTTCTGTCAGAGCTCTCTCAGCCCACCTAGCTCACAGGGTGTCTGTTGTGGGGAGGGGAAGGGAAAGGAGTTTATAAGCCACTCCTTTGGGTAGTGAAGGGCGGGGTATAAATCCAACCTCCTCCTCCTCCTCCTCCTCCTCCTCCTCCTCTTCTTCTTCTTCCTCTTCCTCTTCTTCCTCTTCTTCCTCTTCTTCCTCTTCTTCAGAGAGCCTGGCTAGCAGTGTATATTTAGACGTGTTAGGGCATTTGATTTCTTTTCACCCACTTACTGTTATTATTCTGCACCTTGTTTGTTTGACCTCCTATACAATAAACTATTTTCATTGTGCAGTCGGCCCGGTCCTCATGCCTATTATTCGGCCAAAAGGGAGGCCTGAAGGTTCTTGGGAGGGTGCTCTGGGCCTTCTCAAGGGATCCTAAATCCAGAGTGGTGGCAGCGTCAGGTGACACCCCACCTGAGCCGTGACATACCCGTTATCGAAGGCCCGAGTCTGACAGCAGCAGGTGAAGAGAAAGACCCAACAGGAGATGGACCGACTCCATCAAGGGAGCCCCAAAGGCTAGTCATTGATCCATTGGGTCATCCCATAACTCGGAAGGGACTTGACGGCACTTGGGACACGCAGCCCCACACCCACCGAGTCCCCCTGGCTTTCTCTCTGCACAGGTGTTCAAGCGCCACAACCCGGGCACGGCGGAGGAGCAGGAGATGATGGAGAACCTGTTTGACTCCCTGTGCTCCTCTCTGATGTTGAGCTCCAACCGGGACCGCTTCCTGAAGGGGGAGGGGCTGCAGCTGATGAACCTCATGCTCAGGTGAGGACTTCCATGCGCTCTGCACACAAAAGGCACACCGGCGGTGGGGGCCCTGGGAGCCCAGTGAGACATTCTGGGGAGGCCGAGGGGTGCTGAGTCTCTCTCTCTCATATCTGGGGTTCCCTTCAGGGATGTGTCCTGAGGGCTGTGTTCAGTGAGCCATCTACCATGATTCCAGGGTCTCTCTCCTGGCCAGTCACTGCCAGTTTGGACCCCATCAAGGTACATTTGGTTCCAGTGTGCATAACTTTGCACCAGTGCTCCCTTTAAGTTGTGGAGTCTCGTGAGCAAAAAATCCTACTTTGTGAGCTACCGGCATTAAAATTGTGAGCGAGCGATTTGGCTGCTGTGTAAATCAGTTTGCTCTGGAGCCCCCTCCTTCCCAAGCTAAGGCAAAAAGGTGTGAGCCGGAGGCTAAAAGACTGTGAGCTGGCTCACACTGTCTCAGCTTAGAGGGAGCACTGCTTTGCACTTGCCCACGTTGAACCTCATTTGCCACACTGCCGCCCACTCACGCAGGCTCGACAGATCCCTTTGGAACGCCTCACAATCCTCCCTGGTCCTCACCACCCTGAACAACTCAGGGTCATCCGCAAACTTAGCCACTTCACTGCTTACTCCCAACTCCAAATCATTAATGAACAAGTTCAAAAGCACCGGACCCAGTACCGAGCCCTGCGGTACCCCACTGCTTGCCACCTTCCACTGTGAGAACTGCCCATTGAGACTCACTCTCTGTTTCCTGTTAATTAACCAGTTTTTAATCCACAAGAGGACTTGTCCTCTTATCCCACAGCTGCTGAGTTTACTTAGGAGCCAAGAACTCTTAACAGGGTAGTGAGACAAGATCTTCCCTCACAGAATCCATGCTGATTCTTCCTGAGTAACTTTTGTTCATCAGCGTGCCCACTAATTCTATCTTTAAAAACAGGGGTTGCCTGAGTGCTTAGTTCTTGTGGCCCTTTCTTACACGCCCAGGGAAATGCTGATCGCCACGTTGGGGTCCGGAAGCAATTTTTCTCCAGACCAGTTTGGAGGTTTTTTGTCATCTGGGCGCGGAGCAAGGGTCACTGGGGATGTGGAGGGGGGGGGGCATTTGTGGGCTTCCTGCATTGTGCAGGGGGTTGGACTAGATGACCCTGGAGGTCCTTTCCAACTCTATGAGTCTATGAACTTACCTGGTATCGACGTTAGACTGACCAGCCTGTAATCTCCGCTGGAATCCTTTTTTTTTTTAAACTGATATCAGGAGAGATGTCGAAAGACCTGAGTCGGATTGAGGTAATGAGAGAGGAGGTCCTGCAACTGATAGACAACTTAAAAACTGACAAATCACCAGGCCCAGATGGCATACATCCGAGAGTTCTGAAAGAACTCAAATGTGAACTTGTGGATCTCCTGACAAAAATATGTAATCTTTCCCT